CCCCGCTGACAGGAAGTGAACACTCTCGTGATGCTAACATCCCCGCTGACAGGAAGTGAACACTCTCGTGATGCTAACATCCCCGCTGACAAGAAGTGAACACTCTCGTGATGCTAACATCCCCGTTGACAGGAAGTGAACACTCTCGTGATGCTAACACCCCCGCTGACAGGAAGTGAACACTCTCGTGATGCTAACATCCCCGCTGACAGGAAGTGAACACTCTCGTGATGCTAACATCCCCGCTGACAGGAAGTGAACACTCTCGTGATGCTAACACCCCCGCTGAAAGGAAGTGAACACTCTCGTGATGCTAACATCCCCGCTGACAGGAAGTGAACACTCGTGATGCTAACATCCCCGCTGACAGGAAGTGAACACTCCTTCACTTGCAGCAACATTTACCGCAGCTTCAGTCTGAGCTCACATCAGAGCACAAGACGCATGCGTGCACGGTGTCCAGTTAGTAAACATAAACAAAATGACGCAGCCTGCATTGATGTTTCCTCGTGGTGCGTTTTGAACCGACTCGCCTGCAGCTTCCTGAACTGACGCTCCTTTGATCTCTGGAACAAACACACCCTGTTGTTGTTTTTTCCTCCTCTGTATCACAAACACACATTTAAAAACAAAACCACATTTACGATTCTTTTGTTGTTCAACCGGTCGTTAAAATCTGCCGTTATCGATCAGATTACATAAAGCAGGTCTGAACTGGACACTCGTCTGATTCATCCAACAGTTGGTTGTTTTTTTAATCTCCCCCACCAGACTAGCAGAGAGAAGTCTTAACGAGCTCTAATCTGTTGCTTGAATTATAGAGGCATGCTTCCTGTTTCTGCTGCGTTCACACGGTTCAGTTTAATCCAAGTCAGCAGGCAGAAAGAGGCTGAGGACACTCAGACTTATTTTCCAGTTTTGAGTGGGAGTTAATGAAAAAAGTCAGACACTGTAAAGAAACATTAATATGTGCAGTATGACCGTACTCTTAGTCTGGACTTTATTAATCTGAGGGGATTACAGGACGACCTGTTTGAAGTCTGTTTGTTCTGATTGAGGACCGGCTGTGGTCACAGTCACTACATGTGCTGCT